TTGTTGTTTGGCAGGTCCGGGCTGGGGATTCAAACCCGCCACCTTAGGTGTACGTGGCTGGCGCCTTAGCCGGTTGAGCTATAGGCGCCGAGCCGGATGATTACATTTCTAAGGGGCACAGAGGTGGATGAAGGAAGGGTCAGATTAGGGAAGACAATAATAGTTAATAACCACTTTTGTTTTTTTTTGAGACAGAGTCTCAAGCTGTCACCCTGGGTAGAGTGCTGTGGTGTCATGGCTCACAGCAACCTCCAACTCAAGTTCAAGCAATATTCTTGCCTCAGTTTTTCTATTTTTATCTATTATTTTTTTGTTGTTGTTGTTGCAGTTTTTTTGGCCAGGGCTGGGTATGAACCCACACCTCTGGCATATGGGGCCAGCGGCCTACTCCTTGAGCCACAGGTACCACCTAGTTTTTCTATTTTTAGTAGAGACGAGGTCTTGTTTTACTCAGGCTGGTTTTGAACTTGTGAGCTCAGGCAATCCACCTGCCTTGGCCTCCCAGAGTGCTAGGATTACAGACATGAGCCACCATGCCTGGCCTAGTTAGTAACTATAAACCTACTGATAGGGCACTTGTGTGCCAGGCCCCAGGTCAAGCATTTTATATGTCACTTCATTTACTTCCTACAACACCACTATGAGATCGCTATCAACTAATCTAATCTTGTAAGTAAAGAATCTGAGGTTCAGAGATGATATAACTTGCCCACAGACCCACGACAGAGATAGAAACTCAGACCCCCTGGACTTCAAAGTCTATGTCCTCCTAATCCCCAGGCTTTTCCCATATTCCAGACAGGACAGGTGAAGAAGGTAGCCAAAAGTTAAGATAGTGTGGAGGCAGAATGAGAGAAGGTGCTCTGGAAAAGGGAAAAAAGAAAGTAGCTGGAAAGCAAAGCATGCTAAGAAAGATTCTGACTGCGGAAAATACTACAAACACAGGACTCAAAAGATTCTCACCTTCCTTGAAGACCCCATTGACAGAAAAACACAGCAGTGTGCTCTGAAAGAGGAACAACACCAGGTATAAGGTAGGCATCCCAGCCCCCCTGGCCTCTTTTTTTTTTTTTTTAGAGACAGAGTCTCAGTATGTCGTCCTTGGTAGAGTGCCATGGTGTCATGGCTCACAGCAACCTCAAACTCTTGGGTTTCAGTGATTCTCTTGCCTTAGCCTCCTGAGTAGCTGGGACTATAAGCAGCCGCCACACCTGGCTATTTTTTGGTTACAGTTGTCAGTGACCTTTCGCAGGCCCGGGCCAGGCTTAAATTAGCCAGCTTTGGTCTATGTGGCCGGTGTCCTGCTCACTAAGCTAAGGGCGTCAAGCCTTTTTTTTTTTTTTTTTGGAGACAGTCTTGCTCTGTCACCCTGGGTAGAGTGCCACTGGGTAGAGTGCCATAGAGTCATCATAATTCAACAACTTCAAACTCCTGGGTTCAGGCGATCCTTCTGCCTCAGCCTTCCCAGTAGCTGAGATTATAGGTCCCCACCACAATGCCTGGCTAATTTTTCTATTTTTAGTAGAGATGGGGTCTTGCTCTTGCTTAGGCTGGTCTCAAAATCCTAAGCTCAAGGGATTCTCCTGCCTTAGCCTCCCAGAGTGCTAGGATTACAATGTGTGAGCCACCATGCTGGCCCCTCATCCCTGCCTCTTAAATACAACCCCTCACCCTGATTGTAGGCTCCTATCAGGGAAGAAATAGGTGCTTACTGTCTGGGCGCTTATGTCTACCACAAAGGAATTAATATCGTGCTGGGTTTTGGGCAATTCATTGAGGAAGGCAACAACATTGAGACGTGTGTGCTTCAGCAGCCGGAACCGCAAGGCTGTGGGCAGAGGAGAAAGCAAGTTGGGGTCTGCCATACTCTCCCGAGCTCTATGACTGATTCCATCCCTTCCCCTTCTCCCATTCTGTTTTGCTCACATCACACACTTACTAGGGTCTTTAAGCTTCTTCACATTTCTGCTGTCCTTGAAGTACTTGGCCAAGGTGCTTCTAGGGAAGTAAGAGGAAAAGTAAGTGGTGGTCACAGCAGTGTGGTTGCTGTTGCCATGTATCTGCTAAGAAACTTTGTGGTCCTGGGTAGGTTCTGGAATATGATACACACCGGGCAGGATTCTGGGGAATGAACGGAATGCTAAGGGAACAGCAAGCCCCATCATGGTAGGCATCTAGGAGCCCCTGCCGGTCTCCAGAGTCATAAATTGCATAGTACCTATGGGGAGAACAAAAGGGAAAGTCTGAGTTCCGTAGTTTAGAGCCACAAAGGGACCTAGTAGCTTCTAAGAATGAGCTGTGCCTAGCTCGGCCCAGCTCGGCCCACTTCTTTCTAGCCTCAGGTTCCTGGGATACTTACTGCTGTAGGAAATGCAGGACCAGACTCTTCAGGTTCTCTGTTCCAAAATAGCTTCCCTGGAATCAAACAGATATCAGGACCATGGAAGCAGTACTTTCCCCACACAAAAGTTCTAAATGTGTCTCCCGTCTCACCTTGCAGGGTGGTAATGTGGTGGGGGCTTCAACATCAAAGGCAATTGGCGGGGGTAACTCATGACTATCCTGTGGAAAGAAAGTGAAAGCTAACTGTAAATCAGAGGAAAAGGCTGGACAAATAAGTAAACTGAAAGTCTAAAAACGAAAAGTCAGAAGTATAAAAGAGCTATGAAAATTGTCTGCAATTTTTGCTTATAAGCATTTTTCTGGGAAGATAAATTACACATCCTTTATTAGATTCTCAAAGGGACTCAAGTCCCCAAGTTAATGGTTACATAAAAAAGTTACACAGACTGGGCACAGTAGCTCACGCCTGTAATCCTAGCACTTTGGGAGACTGAGACAGGTGGCCTGTCTGAGCTCACAGGTGTCAGACCAGCATGAGCAAGAGCAAGAGCAAGACCCTGCCTCTAAAAATAGCCGGGCGTTGTGGCGGGTTCCTCCAGTCCCAGCTACTTGCGAGATTGCAGCAAGAAAATTGCTTGAGCCCTAGAGTTTGAGGTTGCTGTGAGCTATGATGCCATAGCACTCTATTGAGGACAACAAAGTGAGATGGAGAAAAAAAAAAGTTACACAAGAATCTGAGAGTGGAGGCTCGGCGCCTGTAGCACAGTGGTTACAGTGCCAGCCACATATACCGAAGGTGGCAGGTACAAACCAGGCCTGGGCCAGCTAAACAACAACTCCAACAAAAAAATAGCTAGGAGTTGTGGTGGGTGCCTGTAGTCCCAGCTGCTCGTGGGGCTGAGGCAAAAGAATCACCTAAGCTCAGGAGTTTGAGGTTGCTGTGAGCTGTGATGCCACAGCACTCTACCCAGGGCAACATACTGAGACACTATCTCAAAAAAAAAAAAAAAAAAAAGAAAAAGGAAAGAAAGAATCTGAGAGTGGGAGATGCTTGTTAGAGGACAATGAAAAAGTTACAGACTTACCAGGCGTAATAACTTAGGAAATCGTTCACGAATGGCGCTGTCAAGAACGGGACAGAAGTAAGTGATGTTTCAGAGCCACCGTGCCTCCTGGGCTGCTCTAAGAGCAAATACACCAACACCCGAGGAACAACCCATCCCATCCTGCTCATCCCCCTAATCCTCCCCAGCATGTGCTCAAGGAAAAATGGCCCCCACTCCCCACCTCACCAGGGGCACCCAGACATGGACTGCCTTGAAGGCTGACTGTCTCTTTTTCTCTCTGACTGACCCCGAGTGCTGCAAGGAGCAACACTCCCAGCCCAGGCTTTAAGCCCAGGACCTCCTTCCCCTTCCTGCCCCCCTTACCTTCCACCTACTCACCTGTGCAGCCCCGGGAGGAGGGAATGGGGTGGGAGCCCAGGGGCTCCGCTGCCTCACCAGGTATCCATCAGTTCTGTCAGGTCTGGCCTTGGCCAAGACCAGAACACACCACAAGGATGGCACAGGATATTGGGGCAGGGAGATGAGCAAGGTGGGGCTTAGGAGAAGGAGACGCAAAAGAAAAAGAAAGGAAAAGAAGAGAAAGAAAAAAAGATAGGAGAGGACAGGGGAAAGGAGACATGGGGGAGATATATGGGTTGAAAAGAAAAGAGAAAGCAAAGAAAGAGAACTACAAGGCAAGGAAGCATTTAGAAAAATAAGGGAAATAAGGGAGAAAGATACCCTGACACAGCCCTTTCCTTCAGCTACCCTGCCCCTGTGGTCCAAGGTAGAAATGGAGAACAAATCCTTGCTGTGGTGAGTGGGCAGTTGCTGCTGGCCAGGTCTGTCTGCTACCTGGGTCCCAATCTGAGCTGGGCGTGGGAAGCAAAGCAGCCTTGGGGGCAGGAGACCTCCCTCAGAAGGGGTGAGGGTTCAGGCCCCTGCAAAGTTGGGGGGGTGAGGGTCTATGCCCCACCTCTGTTGGCCCCCAAGTTCTCTCCTGATGGCCCCTCTGCGACTGTGCCTGTCTTAGGTTGTTCCTTCCCTGAGGAATCTTACCCGTCTCTGGCTAACCAGCCATCCTCTGGGGCCAAACAGGGTGATGTGAAGTGTGAGTGAGGGAGGGGCAGTGCCCCCAAGAGGGTCAGTTCTCTGTCTCCTTAGTAGCCTATGCCCCCGTGGCCTCCACGCCCAGTACCTGCCTTGGGACTCCCACGCCTGCTGGCAGGGCCCCGGCTCTGGTCACATGTATTAGGGAACCCAGGTTTCTTCTCCAGGGAGGTCCCAGCTCACAGCACTGAGCAAGAGAGACAGATTGCATGGCACCAGCCCTCAGGAGGCCTCAACCTCAGCATAAGTAGAAAAGCCCAGGCAACAGCCTTGGGCAAGTACATCATGAGAAAAGGGCCCCTCTTGGCACAAAGGCAAGAGGAGCCATCACAGTATAATGAAGGGCTCATCACACAAGAAGTCCCACGTAGGGATGGCTTTCTCAGCCCAAGAAACAGGCTCTTGGCACAAGGCAACCCCACATATGGGGCATATGAAACAACCCCTTGTTAGAGTAGAAAAGGGGAGATGCCCTTCCTGGAACAGTAGGGTAGGGAGATTCTAGAAAAGGCTGTGTTTCAGAGGAAGGAGAAAGACCACAGAACCAGCAAGTAGTCAAGTCAAGTCAGAAGAAAGGAGTAGAGATCTCAGGGCAAAGCTGGGAGACACAGACAGACCATAGGGAGGAACACATGATCTTCCCAAAAGATAGGTGGTTCCAGCTCAAGGCTGCACATCTCCTGCAGACGGGCACTGGTCAGGGTGCATTAGCTCAGCCTCCCAGGGGGTGAAGGTCCCCAGGAGGGGAGACAAAGGCTACAACTGACCTAATGTATGTGGACTGGTCTCGGAAGGTATCACACAGGGGGTTTCCGTCGAGCCATAGCTCTTCTAGCTTTAGCCCTTTTACCTTGTCCAACTCCCGCTCGGACTTCAACTGCAAAGATTGGGAAAAAGGCACTGGTGAAGAAAGCCAGTGGGATCCCTACACCCTCAATCCCTACCCCCATCTCTGAGTCCTCACTCTCGCCTCTTGCCATCACCAGGCATGCTCTTCCCACCCCCTCAGAAACAGAGCTAGATGGTCATGTCTCACTTCGTTTCCAGAGAGGTTTAGAATCTTTAGGTTGGGTGCCTTCTGCACAATGCTGGACATGTCATCTAGCTTGTACAGCCTGTTGTTGCTCAAGTTCAAGGACAATAGCTGTGGGGAGAGAAGGGTTTAGAGGAAGCACCACCTGTGAGTAGACGAGAAGCAAATCTGTCTCCAGTTCTATTCTATCTATCCCACCCTTTTTCCTCATTTCCATTACTGGGCCAGAGGTCTTACCTCAGGGATGTTTTCTTCGATGATCCGCAGGGTGGCTGCCATACAGCTCCTACGATTCAGGACAACATCAATGTTCTGGGCCACCAAATCTTCAGGAAGTAGAAAAGAAAGAAAAGGGAAGCCTGAGAGTACTTACCCAGGCCAGTGTTAACACTAAACCATCCTCACACTTCCTCTCCCTGACAAATCCCTGTCTCCACCTATCTGATTAATTACTGCTATCATCCATACCTGGGTCTGAACGGAGGCCCTTGAGGTCAAGTGCTTGTTGGGAGCCATCATATCGTTTGCTCATGATTAGCTACAGAGGAAGAAAAGAATTCATGGTAGCTGGGGTTGTGTGTAGGTGTAAGAGAAGTAGTAAGAATGGGTTGGGAACATATCTTAGTTGAGTGTGCCTCACCTTTAGCTGCTCTATTTGTTCTGGCTTTAATTCATTCAGTATAGTAGGGGGCGGAGTAGAGGGGTTGATGATGATAGATATCTGGAGGGAAGACAGAAAGGGCACAGTCAACTCCAGGGATGCCTAAGGCCTTGAAACAAGACCCAGTCTTTACTTTGTGAAGCTAATCCCCATCTCCAGCCAACCCAGGCCCTTTATACACACCCTTCGGTTATCCCGATCCAAAATCTTATAGTTTACAGCCTTCAGTGCAGAGGCAGTGCTGGCATCCTCAACAAAAAACTGGGCCCGTGTGTTCTCATAATGAAACTATAAACAGAAACAAGAGCATTACACTTGGAGCCCAGAGCCCCTTGCTCAGCCAGCTAGCCACTCAGGCCTTGTCTTACCTCAATGGGGGTGAACGGGACACTGCACTTGCTCTGAATCATGCTCAGGAGCCATGCCTTGTCATACTTTCTGCCATAAGGAATCTAAAAATGAGAAGAAAGAAAAAAAAAGGAGGGGAACGATCTGTGACAGAGTGAACAGCAGATGCAATGTAGTGTTCCCTTTATACCTTCTATTAAACTTTAAAAAGATTCTAAAGAGGCGATTTGCTGCAGTGGCTTATGCTTTCAATCCCAGGAGGCTGAGCCAGACAGAAAGACTGTTTGAGACCAAGAGTTCAAGACTAACCTGGGCAACATAGCAAGACACTATCTCTATAAAAAGATTTTAAGATTAGGCTCAACGTTGTAGTGGTTATGGCACTAGCCACATACACTGAGGCTGGTGGGTTTGAACCCAGCTCAGTCAGGTCAGTTAAACAACAATGACAACTGCAACCAAAAAATAGCTGGGAATTGTGGTGGGCGCCTATAGTCCCAGCTACTTGGCAGGCTGAGGCAAGAGAATTGCTTAAGCCCAAGAGTTGGAGGTTGCTGTGAGCTGTGATGCCATAGCACTTTACCGAGGGCAACATACTAAGACTCTGTCTCAATTTTAAAAATAAATAAATAAAATTAAAGGTGGTGCCTGTGGTTCAGTGAGTAGGGCACTGGCCCCCTATACTGAGGGTGGCGAGTTTGAACCTGGCCCTGGCCAAACTCCAACAAAAAAATAGCCAGGTGTTGTGGTGGGTGCCTGTAGTCCCAGCTACTCAGGAGGCTGAGGCAAGAGAACCACCTAAGCCCAAGAGCTGGAGGTTGCTGTCAGCTGTGATGCCAAGGCCCTCTACCGAGGGCAACAAAATGAGACTCTGTCTCTAAAAAAAGACTTTAAGATTAGTTAGGGGGGCTCGGCGCCTGTGGCTCAAGCGGCTAAGGCGCCAGCCACATACACCTAACATGGCGGGTTCAAATCCCCAGCCCGGGCCGGCAAACAACAATGATGGCTACAACCTAAAAATAGCCGGGCATTGTGGTGGGCGCCTGTAGTCCCAGCTACTTGGGAGGCGGGGGCAGGAGATTCGCTTGAGCCCAGGAGTTGGAGGTATTGCTGTGAGCTGTGATGCCATAGCACTCCACCCAGGGTGACAGCTTGAGGCTCTGTCTCAAAAAAAAAAAAACAACAAAACAATTAGTTAGGGGGTGGGCTGGGCATGGTGGCTCACGCGTGTAGTCCTAGTGCTGTGGGAGGCCGAGGCAGGTGGATTGCCTGAGCTCAGAGGTTCGAGACCAGCATGAACCTGAGTGAGCCAGAGTGAGACCCTGTCTATACCCAAAAAAAGCCAGGCATTGTGGCGGGCACCTGTAGTCCCAACTAATTGGGAGGCAAAGGGCAAGAGAATCACTAAAGGAAGAAAAGAAAAAAAAATAAACAACTTCAAACTAAGATGAGTGAAAGCCAGTTGAAATTGAAAGCAAAATTAAAAAAAAAAACAAAACAAAGATTAGCTAGCTAGGATGGTGGTGTGTGCTTGTACTTGCAGCTGTTCAGGAACCTGAGGCAGAGGATCACTTGAGCCCAGCAGTGGGAGGTTATAGTAAACTATGATCATGCCATTGCACTGTAGCCTGGGCAACA